ACAAAAAAATTGTTCAAACCGAAGCAGTAGTTCTGGAGATTAGCATCATCATCTTCCTGCCCTTGTCCCGTTTTATTTGGGGTCGGCGCAATATGTTTTTTCTTCCATTCTGTCCTGTCACTCGTCACGCTATCGCTAACTCCTCTGTCTTCCATATCACTTCTCACACAATCCATCCATATTTTCTTTGGTCTCCCTCTCCCTCCCCATCCATCCACATTTATACTCATTGCTTTTTTGTAACATGCTTTTTATCCCTTCTTTTCACATGGCCATACCAAGACAAACGGTTCCCTTTCAACTTTTCAGTCAGATATTTCTGGAGATTAGCGTGATCATAAAAAACTGTAATAAGTATAGCACCCTGGTTTTTTACATTACAACAAACGCCAACATTCATCGTTCCTTGCACTTTTAAATTAAAAGACGTTACACACACACACACACACAGATATCAATGAAGAATTCATAATCGAATCACGTGCAAAGATTTCTAGTGGCGCAATCCAGTTCGGGGTCGCTATCAAAATAATTAACGTGATTACTTGTCGTTAATTGGCAGCATCGTAATTAAATGGCCTACGACCTTCGTTAACATTACTTACAACAATAATAAATTTTATCATTCAAAGGTTAAACTGAAGCCCTACCATTGTCTGTTTACAAGTTTTATATAACTGAGTACAATCTCGTCAAGCTATGATGATTGACAATGTTAAACAGATAATTCTGTAGCAACTTAATAAGACTATAAAAAACAGAATGAGACGGAATCTTCAGCTGTTAAATAGAATTAAATACGAGGCATAACTAGTACATAATTTATCTTCACAGATGTTTTTTAAGCCTCTACGATTGGATTTTCTTCTGATTGGTGGGTTTAGAAATAAACATTTTAACATGCACGTGACACCCAAAGCTGGATCCTGGATCACACAAAGGGTGCTTGAATGGAACACGCTATTGTTTGACTAGTTATCCTAAGAACAACTTTAGGGGCATCCGTTTGATTGAAACAAAAACATTTCTTAATTAGCTAATTTTTCGTATCGCACGCAGGTGACAACGAATCAAATAAATCCATAAATACTGAACGAGAAAAGAAAATTTAAATCAAATACTCATCAGAAAATCTAGAATTCCAAATTACAAAAGGTAACATAAACCAAACACTACCAGTATCAAAACTACTCGGAACGTGGCGTGGCGTCATTTGGCACAAAGCTTGTACTTCAATTAAAACTTAGTAGTTAGAAGCTGCCAGTTTTGCCGATAATGGACGCTTCATGGTAGCGACGATGCTTTGAACTACGTAAGATGAAAACGACTGCTACACGAAGAGAAACCCATTGATAGTAAGAAAGAAAAAAAGTTTCAAATTGTTCATAGAACTCTTAGCACCAAGACTGTGTGCGAAAAATTCTTTACAAGATCAACTTTCAAAATTCTTAAGAAAATTTTAACAATAAATCTAGAATGGTCTCGAAACTTCTATAGGGCTTGACAACGATCGACGCAGCATAAGATCACTCAATAACGAACATTCGATATGTCCTTGACATTACCAGAAAGTAGTTGTCCGTAAAAGGACAGCTATTAAATACCTGTATCTTAGTCGTGTTGGATTAATAAAGGATTTACTAGGATAATGGAAGGACTACCCACATAAACCTACGGTTAAGAAGGATTACTTTTGTAATAAGGAAACTAAACACACAACTACAGGAAATTTTGTAAAAGACTTTGATGAGAAACGAAGAAGCAAGCTTTTAAAGCAAGGAATTGTGTAAACAGGAGACATTCATGCGTTACGCTCGCTAAAATCAATCCAATAATCATTTTATCAAAGACCAAAATCCAAAATAGTCACAGTATTAGAGTCGTAAATAACACGAAGACAATTTCAAAATAGATGAAAGGGATAAACGTCCAACTGGGGGTATCGTTCTATTTATTTTCTGCAGTGGAGGTGGATTGGATATTTAAGTAAAGAAATGGTCAGCATGATACAGCAAAAGGGATAAAATATTGGAATTCGTAAGCAGATCATAACTTAGTCGTGGCAAAAAAATATTAGTGTCCCATTTTTGGCCATAGTGCGTGGAAGAAAAAGGCCAGAGTCCTAAAGAAGAAGAAAATAATAGACAATGAACAGATTACTTTTAATGCTGATGAGATTATAGTGCGTAAGTAGTAAGAGTTAGTCATTGTGAATACATTATTAGCATGATGAATAATCTGCATGTCAAAGGCTACACAAGAGGCAATAAAAGCTATGATTAATATAACTTTTACTTTCAAACCAATACCTATGGTTGAATGAATATCTTTGTAACTAGGAGTTTCACTGTCATTTTTCTTTATTTTTAGTAACTAGTTACAATATCGCATATTTTTCCTGAGGATTTTTTATACATATCTCAACTAGTGCCGAAATAAATATCAATAGCCCATCAGACACCACAAAATGGTGGCATGTTTTCCGAGCTTGTTCAGTACTATGTATAACAATAAACATGCATTTGTCGGGGACAAAATTGAAAACCGTGATCTGTTATCAAGGTTACGAGCGCTTTGACCCTTACAATCCGTGACAGAACAACAAGAACATAAAAAGCGTTGTAACATGATAAAAATCTTATCTTGACAGATTTTCTCTCACAACGAAAACGAAGCATTTTTCTTTACAAAAACAAGCTTTTCCATTTATAAGAAAAACTACGATTTTTCTTGAAAGTTTTGAAAAAACTGCAGATATTTATCAAAACACATTTAAAAATGTACTTTCATTAATTGTGCAAGCGATGCAACCAAAACCAATCAGCGCTTACGTGCAACTTAAAAAAAGGTTTTAAGTATTGAGTTTGCGGTGGCGCACCAAACGCACTGGCGCAAAATAAACAAGTTACCAAATCCGTTCGAAATCCTCCCACATGGCGGTATTTTATTTTTTTATTGCGACACGTGGCCGTCATCCCCGCTTAGGGTATTTTTACATTGACAACACTTGTGTGGGCCGAGCCCATTATTTTTAGATACTTTGTTTTCATTACCAGTGTCAGTTTTTACGTTCCTGACCTTTTCACAGTTAAGCTTCATAGATTTTAGCATTACAACTTCATCATATGATTTTGGTTGATATTTTTGTTTTTTTATTGGAAACTCCTTAGCGAAAAATAAGTTTACTAGAAAATGAAACCAAAATGATAAATCATGGTTCCTTCTTTTACAAAAGTATTCATCCAAACGATTTAATACTATCGTGGAAGCAAAAACAAAACTTGGCTGTACGATTTTTACGACCAGCTTTTTCTAGTGCGATCCATATTCTGAGTTTATTTCTTTACCCTTAGAACTCTTCATAGATAAAAGAGCACCGTCAGAACCTTTCTTTTGTTCTTGACTCTATTGTAAAAGCAAAAATTATGTGGGGTGAGCTGCGAATGCGATTAGTTTTCGGAAGACTTCATTTATTTACGTGTGGTATGTTAAGTGGATATTCATTATTTCCATATAAATTTTAAGGTACGAAAGCTAAATACTTTCTTACTCAGGCGAAAAATCATACAGATTTTGGATTTAAAGATTAAAAGTAAAGAATTTAATTTATAACCAAACTTTTTTACCCTAGATTTAATAAAACAAGCAATTGCTGTAACGTATGTACATTCACCTCGGACTAACCCTTCGGCATGATGCTGTCGCATGTCGCTTAGAAATCTTTTATCAGCTTCAAAAATCAATAAATTTGTTACGTCTACCTCTGAATTTATTAAAATAATTCACATCTCATTACGAACTGCTAGAAACGTCTTTCCATCATTTAACATGGCGAACGCCAACTAATTCCTCAGCACATTAAATCACGTATATTTTATGACGTAAGCAACGAGCAAATATTATAACGACGAAGTTCTAAACTTTCTCCACGGGCCGACACGTCTGGTGATGTGAATAACAATTGAAAAAGATACTGCGGTTTTATTAAATTATATTGTTTTAATGCTACCTAATAAGGAAGATGATGTAGAGTGACAATACGTTTTATTGGTAGCCATTTTGCGTTATCATTTTATAAAGGTGTCTAAACTCCTTGATATAAGAACCAATTAAGTAAATGCGATAATGTATTTTCTTATTAACTTGTTTTACATTTGTTATTGGATATGTAGTCAAAATAATCCGACGAACGAAGTAGTTCTTAATAAAACGCGGTAAAGTCATGTCAGTAAAAAATTCTTTCTCTGGAATTTTGACTTTGTAATCCGTTTGATTCCTTTTGTTTAAAGTTCGCAGAATACACGACAAACAAAGGCATTTCAATTTACCGAACCGCAGCATCGCGGTAAGCATCATTCAACACAAAGACCCATTTTAAAAAGGGATAACGCCTGTTGACACTTTTGACGGGATCGTTTATTTAGAAAGTCACGGAACCCGATAAGTATGTGACCTGGGGAATAATTCAAGTACACTCCAATTTCCAGCGTGTCCGTATTATTCTGAAGTGGATTTTCAATTAGGGAAGCGAAAAATACTCAAAAGCCAGAAAACCGGGGTCGCAAGAATTCAGATATTACCGCAGAAAGTTAAGGATCCTTCAACCATATCGCGTAAAGAGAACAATAGTTATTTCTTTGGAGCCTAACGCAAAAACCTAATATATTCAGTGGGTAATATTTTAGCCGCATTACTATCAAGAACAATCGTTTCCACAGGCGGTTGTAATCAATTTTATCACATCGGAATTTATTACGGACTTTAAGCAGATAGTAGACACACAATAGGTAAAACAATATTAATTGATTTCGCTTAAGTAAAATTGAAACTGTATCAGCTAACCTACCAAGTAAATAGTTTATTTGTGATTCCCGAAATGTATGACATTTCCGGACTCTTACAAGCCTTTGGACAAAAATGACATGTCCGACTTTTTTGTTGCAAAAAATATCTTGTTATTTCTTTTTCTCGTATATAAAAATATTGCGAGACGAACTTACCAATGGCATCGCTGGTTTTTGTATAGGCGGTTGAGGTGGAGGTCCTCTCGTCCTTATATCGCTCGGCTGTCTCCGAACAGCAGGTCTCGCAGGGGGCTCTCTTGGGACCTCTCTATGAGCTTCTCTCGATTCTCTATCTCGTCCTGCTAAAGCTTCCGATAATGCGGCTGAGAGTGCCCCGACGTTGCTCGTCGATGATGGCGGTCGTACTTTGTCTGGGGAAGACCTTTGTGGAGGTTGGTGAGGTTGGGGTGGCGGGAACCGCGGCGCGTCGTTTTTGACTTGGCCATTTGGTGTGGAACCTGCAAAACACCCATTTAATTGATACCACTTACTTGCATGGTTTTATTCAAAATTGTTAATTTTCAAGACTGTTTATAGACATGGTTTTAGAACAGTGTTTGCAATAATTAATTCATAGCCTACACCAAGAACAAAGTCTATACACAATTGCACACTTTCTGTTTACAGTATTATTATAATTACTTAAGAATTTTCATTCACAAACAAGTTATTAAAAGTATTAATCATAAAATTGTTCAAACATACATATTAATATTATGTACTGAGTTACAAACATGACTTTATGTATAGATATCAATATTACAGCTTCTGTTGGATTGTAACGGCTGAATGCAACACAGGCACAAACAAACGGTTGTTTCAACTTAAGATTTGCCTTGAAACATATCAGTATCAAGTATTTACATTCCTGTACACTTAACTAGGTACTACTATGTAGTATAATCTTCTATCTATACAATAAACCATCCTTATTTTCATTGCATTAACTCTGTCTGTCTGTCTTTTCTTCAAGCATAAACTACTGAAGCGATTTCTGTGAAATTTGGTACACACATAGTTTGGAACTCGAGAACGGACACAGGATAGTTTTTGTACTAAAAATCTGCAGGAAGTCACTGTTCCAAGCGAACGGAGTCGCGGGCAAAAGAAAGTTTCATACACAGTAAAAAAAAATAAGTGTTTTAAATTTACTTTTTTACAGTACAGTGATAATGAGTATAAGATCTTGTCAGTCTCTTTAAGAAACAATTTTATTAGAAAAAATGTATTCATCATAAAATAAGACAGGACCTTGATTGACCACTTATATAAATATGATGGAACCTAAGGAAGTATATCAGTTAGCTACAAAAATATAAAATTAAGAGCATTCTAAAACCTAAGAGTGAATGCTTGAATATTTCATAGTATTGAAAAGTTGAAGCATTATTTCTTTTCTGCAAAATCATATTTTTATCATTAACATCAACCTTAGTATAAAACTTTACTTTATTTTTTTGTATTTAAAAAAAACGTTGCCCCACATTAGGATTTTCTCCTGTGTCGTGGGTGCGGTTACAAACATACAATTTCACATACACATGACAACCAGACAACAATTTGTAGATGACACAAAGAGTTGTTCCGTGCGGGAATCGAACCCGCGACACGTTGCATGGCAGCCAGTTGCCCAGCCACCGCACCAACCGTGCAGTCTGAGAAAAGAAAACTAAGAATTTGTTATGCTTCCAAACTATCACCATAGCATCAAACATGGTATTGTTAAAGTAATGATAGAGAAAGAATCATTCTTTACTTTAGAAATCCTTATTGTTACGGATGTAAACATAGATTCTTATATATGCATTTGTAATTGTAACTTTAATATTATATGCACTTTGTTATATTTATTTCTGTACTTGTTACATTTCATACTCAGTACCTTACAATTTTTATATATTATTATAAATATTTTATTTCATTTTCATTTGAATATCTATGGTTTAGTAAATTGTAACTTAAGCTTCCATTATACAACTTGTGATCTGAATGTTATTAAGGTTAACTTTGATTGATTGTGTTTAGGTTGGTCTTGAGTTTAATCTTTTTTACATTATTCACATAAGTATTTTGGCATCATATGGTTCCCTATAATTGAAGATATTATGTCTAGTGCATTATAGCATGTAAATATGGTATGTTAGGAATCTAAATAAGTTAATAAACCAATGCAAAACCAGTATAATAATGACACTTGAAAATGAAAATCTATTATTTGGATATTACCTCATCGAGCAATCAATAAATATTTATGCATAATAGAATATTTTCCTAAAAAAAGACAAAGGGTTTATTCGTAAATAATATGTGCTTTTGAATTTATTAATTTCCTCAAATAACAGAATATAGAGTTTTGCATTATAAAATTATCCTTGAAGAACTGAAAAGAAGTTAAATAATCTCAGGAAGTACTAGTTTCAATTTTACAATTATTTTTGTGCTGGCTAGTTTACTTCAAGGTATAGCTGTAGGGTAGGCTATGAAGTATGTAACCCTGCAGGAGTCACTAGTTTAAGAATTAAGTTATTAATTTGTAAACATCTAGTTTTAATAAAAATTTATAATTATACCAAAAGCAGTTCCAAATAACATAGGTTTTATTTTTACATACTTTAAACCTTCCTACTTATATAAAATATTATCCTTGGTCTGATGGGAGTAACCAGAATATCTAGTCTAACATTATATCAAATAAATGAAAATATGCTTATTCTCAACCTTAAAAAATAATACTCGCATTCAATAATTCAAAAAGTTTACCCATCTATAATTGGGAGTTAAGAATATTTTTGCAAATTAAATACCTATGCCTATAATAAAATATATTGTCATAGCTAATACATGTATTTGTTGAATACAATTTTACCTCGAGCTAGATAGCACTCAAGATAAAAGCTGGGCTATCTGCTAATAACAATGAAATCATTTTATCATAAAATGGCCTTACCTGCCAGTTTTCCAGTAGGTCTCAGTTTGGGCATCCCTCCAGCAAACAGTCCGCCAAGGCCAGGCGGGGCGCCACCCCCGCCATTCTGTAGAGGAGCAGCACTCCGCGCACTGCTTCCACTTGGCGATCCTCCACTAGACACATTTGACACTTTTCCCGGTATATAAGGGCCACTTTTGTCCACTGTTTGAGTCTTTTTCAACTTTGTTCCCTGTCGTATAGAACTCAACAAAGCGTTTCTGTCATCAGCACCACCACCCTTCGAACCACCTCCGAATACAGGAGGAGGTGGCGGTCCAGGCGGAGGAGGAGGGCCTGGAGGCGGCGGAGGTTTCGGTCCCATGTTGACACTTCACTTATCAGACACTGGTGCGAATTGCCATCAGTCGCTTACGAATATATTACGAACGTCGTAACAGCCACCGATTCTGTATTCAAGTAACGACGATTCAAACCTTCACAACTATTCTCCGTCTACGTTCTTGCACGTGATGACAACACTTAATGCACTATACGTCACTTTACACCAATACATACTTATTTACATAAAATATTAAAGAACCTTGCCCCAAAAGATTAATCATTGTAGGAAGTACTTAGGCACTGTAGTAGAAATTATTTTTACTTACTCCGAGTTCATTTTATCGTCATAATAACCCAATAATCCTACTATTTAGGAACATCGTTAAATATTCTTCTGAATTCAAGTACATAGAATAGAAACGAGTTCAACTATAACTCACTGCAGAACATCGGCAACCAGCACAATGTGTTTTAATTAGCGGAATGAAATGATACCAATGCCCAATGGGGATTTTGTAAATGTAGCTCGTCGTTCACAAATGGCCGACTAGGGCCTGGCGACCTGTCAAAACGTCAAAATAGATAAAAAAATTACCAGTCTTAAAATTTTATCATTGATCAGTAGTTTTTTTCTCTTAATAATAGAACAAACCAAGTTAAAGAATAGAATTTATTAAATAACATTATAGCAAATAAAATTCACTTCTTTATGGCAAATAAAATAAAATCTTTTTTTTTATCAATTTCTTAATTATGGTCAGTTTCGCCTTCTTTTACCGACTCATGATCATCAGGGGGTTGTATGGTTGAATACATCATCATATTGGAGTCGTAGCTAGCTTCGCTACCTCTAGCACTTAATTCTGCCATGGCACGTTCAGCTTTAGCACGTTCCTCAGCAGCAATTATCTCTCTCTCAGCTTCCAATTCTTGTTTTTCAGTTATACGTTTTTCTTTGAGCTCCATATTTTCTCTAAACTTAATGAGTGATGAAGATAAATATTTAATTGGATCTGCAGGCTGTTGTATAATAACTTTGGCAACACAAAAACGTAAAGCAGAACCGACTGTTTGTTTTAAATATTTAAAATCTTCAGTCACTTGAGCATCACCTGGACATGGTTGAAAAATGTCTGCCTGGCTTCGAATACGCACTAAATTCCCCAAACCATCATTTTCGTATTCACTTAAATGATCTTCATCACGATAAATGTGTTTACCTTCGTCGTTTATATAATAACGACCCCAGGTATCATAATGAAATACAATTCCATCTCTCTCTTCTTTTATTTTGAGTAGGAGTCCCGTCGAATCCATCATATACTCACTGGCGGAAGCGTGAGCTTTATAGATTCTTTGTCTCGTTTTTGGGTCAATAAAGTAACGCCCACATTCATCATAGTAATAAATATGGTTACCATCGTCAGATAGAGGAACTAGCTGACCTTGTTCATTAGGCTGTAAAAGGGTGCCGTCCACAGGAGATTTATATATTCTTCTACTGTGTTCGTCAATATAAAATGTGCCCTTTTCATCAGTGTATTCTTCTTTCGCTTCGGCGGCGCTAAGTATAGAAATTATAGAATGATGACTTTTTTCACCGAAAACTGCCAAATCCCACAAATAACATAATTCTGATACTAGGCGTTCACGAGTCTCCATAGGAAGCAAGTGGTTAAATACTTTTAGTTGATAAAAATCTTCACATGAACATACTTCATCAGTTTCTTTTATATCACCTTGCAGTTTCACGGTAGTCAAGTTTTGAACACTTTTTAAAGTGGTTTTCATTCTTTCTAGGGAAGCCACTCTATCTTCTAAATATTCTTTTTTGTGTTTTAAAGCCATGACAGCTGCACTGGTTGGTTCATTTGCCAATCGCTCGATACGGTCTTCCAGGCTAATAATTTTCTCATATACTTTGCTGAGTTCAAGATTATGCCCGGCTGTTCCTCTTATCATGGAGCCAATTTCTCTGCCTTTTTTTCTTAACTCTTCCATTACATTTTTAACAACTGGATTGGTCATATCAGTATTAAATTCATCAACGATTTGTTGCAATGTTTTAGTCAAATCACTTTTTAAGGTTGGGACATGAAAGTTAATAAATTTGCTTAATTTTATGACCAACCCATCGTAATTTTTGTCTAACCAGTTGAGCAATTCATCAATTGCCTCATGTATTTTAACTTTATACTCTTCAAAACTAACGTAATTTCTAAATATTTTTAGTTTTTCTAAAAGTGCTATCGTTACTTCTTTATTCATATCTTCTACAATTTCTAAATCAGCATTTAGGTGTCCTTGTTTTTCATTTGATAGTTCTCCTCGAAACTTTTCAATGTATCTTTGGAAATTCTTTAAACGGTTGCCCATGGCATCTATAGTGAAACTAATGGATTGAAATACTTCCTCCATTGGAATATTCTGAGACAAACCCTTTTTGAAATTTTCAATTTCATTTACAGCATGCAACCATTGTAAATGAAAATCTACTATTGTATCCATGAGACGTTTTTTATCGTCATTACGCAATGCTGTTCGTATTGAGCACAATGCATTAAATATTAAATCAGAGTAATCTTTATTAGTAAAAAATATTACCACGGTTTCGTAAAATTCTTTAACTTGTTTTGTGATCTCGGATAAAAAATCTGTGTCTTGACTTGGTGCCAACATTTTTAAGGTACGCAGGTCCTACTACAATTACACTACAACACACTAAATTATCAATATTTTAGGGATATGAGAGATCAAATGACATTATCCGACTTGATTTTGTTTTCTGACTAATATAAAGTTTTGTGTATTCAAGGAGGTACGTTTCACACTGAGGCATTTTGTGTGTTTTAGTTTCTACCAATATTACTATTATTTGACTTTTAACTGGCAACTCTGTACGCGTCTACGATTTGTTTCTGAAGAGGTCGTCGATGACTTAGCGATTATACAAAATTACAAAGAAAAAGGTGTCCGTTGTAGTGCTATTTTACTGTTTATCTACGTTTTTTAGTGTAAGCATATAAATATATCCAACATGGCTGGAGCGATGTTATTCGAGAGATCGCGAGTGTCGTCGTCGACGAACAGAGACGAGGACGTCCGCATGACCGACAAAATGGTTAGCACTGGCGAGGTTCCCGAAGATGACGAAGAAAACATAAGGGCGAAGGAACAAGGAATCCTTAATCTTGGCGAAAAGTACAAGAAAGAAGGCAAAGCTAAAGAATTAGCGGAACTGATCAAAGCTACTAGACCTTTCCTCAGCCTGATAAGCAAAGCGAAAGCAGCAAAACTAGTGCGTTCTCTGGTCGATTTCTTCTTGGATTTGGAAGCGGGCATCGGTATTGAGGTTCAATTGTGTAAAGAGTGTATAGAATGGGCCAAGGAGGAGCGTCGTACGTTCTTGCGACAGTCTCTCGAAGCGAGACTGATTGCACTGTACTTCGACACTGGTATGTACACAGAGGCATTGGAACTGGCCACAGCTCTGCTCAGAGAACTTAAAAAGTTAGACGACAAAAACCTTCTAGTGGAAGTACTTCTTTTAGAAAGTAAAACTTATCATGCCCTTAGCAATCTACCTAAAGCCCGTGCCTCATTGACATCTGCAAGAACAACTGCTAATGCGATCTATTGTCCACCTAAAATGCAGGCTGCCCTTGATTTACAATCTGGCATACTCCACGCTGCTGATGAACGTGACTTTAAAACTGCTTACTCATACTTTTATGAAGCATTTGAAGGTTATGATGGTGCTGACAGCCCTAAAGCTCTCACTGCCTTGAAGTACATGTTATTGTCCAAGATCATGTTGAACAATGCTGAAGAAGTAGGTACAGTTTGCAGTAGTAAGGCAGCACTGAAGTATGCAGGAAAAGAGTTAGAAGCAATGCGGGCCGTTGCCACAGCCTCTCACAAGAGATCCCTAGCTGATTTCCAAGCTGCACTGAAAACATATAAACGTGAATTGGAAGAGGATGCAGTGGTAAGAGCTCACCTTGGAGCTTTATATGACACTATGTTGGAGCAAAACCTATGTCGTATAGTTGAACCTTACATGCGAGTTCAAGTGGACCATGTAGCCCGCTGTATCCGTCTGCCTGTAGTGCAAGTTGAGAAGAAACTCTCCCAGATGATTCTGGATAAGAAACTCAATGGTATCCTTGACCAAGGTGAGGGTGTTTTAATTGTGTTTGATGAGTCCCCTCTTGAGAAAACCTATGAGACCGTCCTAGAGACCATTCACCACATGAGTAAAGTTGTTGATACTCTTTACCAGAAAGCAAAGAAACTCTCATAGAGCCATCTGTAAATTTGTTGTAGCATTAAAAACAATAATGTATATCAAAATAACCATAAATTTTCAGTTTGAAATATTTGTAAATGGAACTATTTTTGAATGAATTCAAAATTGCAATATTTGTACCACAAAGTTGTAAGTGAAATAATTACAGAAAATGTTAAAAAAAAGTAAAAATATAGTCTAGAAAAATGGGGAATTGCTGCAACCCCAATGTTAAAGACTATGCTGTTACATTTGTGTCCATTGGCACCTAACTATTACAAAAGTTTCGCATTTTTACCTACTAATCTTTGATTTGATTTAACATTTCCTTTTTTAACATAAGCTAGTGAGAAATTATAATATTCTGTTTTATTGAGATAAATAAAAGGTGTTCTCCAAATACTTGTTTCCTTCACATTGCCACCCACATACATTTTGCAAGTCATGTTATTTGAACTTGTTGGCACACAGTACACACTGCTGTGAATCACTGCATATAAATACAAAACTTTTATGTAGGTAAACAAGTATGTATGTATATTAAAACTTAATGAATTTTAGGAACCTCTATTCTGTACATTCAGTGGCCTATTTAACAAGGTGTGTAATGGGCATGGCTTGCCTAGTTGTGATAAATAAAGGTTACTGTATACATGTTGGCAGCTACAGCACGCATTGCTCACCTGGCATCAAATTCTATGTTGACTATAGGTTTATACACACCTTTATATCAGATACTTATCTAGATTCTAGCCTAGATATTTCTATTAGGTACTACAGGTAACCTTGCTGATCAAAAGAGGCAGTGGTTTGCAATGAAGAATCATTAGAAGGGTATATCAACAGAAGTTAATGGAATGAGACTAGACCCAGACCATATAAAGTTATAGGTAGGATAGCCTTCTTACTAAGTACTCAAGCATTATGGGTAAATTATTAGGGGTAATGCGCTAAAAAAAACAAAGTAGCCAGGTATAAATGCATCATTTATTCCACAGATCAATTACAAAACATGAAAAATCGAATGCGTTCAAAGTACGTGGTAGGTACGTAACCAAATCGTATTAACGTCTATTTAGAGTTTATTACACCCGTATGTACCTGTAAGCTACTTTCCCTATTTACAATTAAAATAAACTTTAAAATAAGACTAATGAGGTACTTAATGCATTAATTTAAATTGGACACATTGTTATTAAAACAAATGCAGACAATATGATACTATATTTTTATTCTGGTGAAATTGCTTTTACCCTATAGTAGCTGTGAACTTGTACTAATGTTTAGATACCTATATACCGTTACATGACGTCATCGCTTCGTTAGGAGGTACGGCTCATGCTCACGAGTCGCTAATATTATCTTTATTTTGTACTTTACTACAAGATAATACATTGACGTCAATATCGAGGTACTTATAAAATATGTTTACTATCGAATATTTATGCGATTAAAAATCAATCCGTATTTTATTAATTGACAACTTAGTTCGGTGAAATGAGTTAGTATTAACAAACCGTACATAACGGGTGCGGCTTGAGAGAGGTCAATGTACATGTACGGACTTACAACAGTTTTTACCGCCAGATTTGAAACAACTGCGTCATAAGTTGCTCTCTGTCAGATACCTACCACAGGCTAAAGATTTCCCATTTGTAATAGAAACGTTTAGATAATTAGTATGATATCTATATTATTTTCTGTCATTTTTAGTTCAGACCATTTTTAGTCACAACCAGAGGCTTTCTTGTACTTAATTCCTACCCAAAGAACTAGAAATGTAACTTTTATTTTTTATAAACTTGAATCTCTTTAAGTAGATATTATTATCTTAAATCTCTAAAAATTATAGTAATTAATGATAGAATGTTTAGCTAGTAGGACTAGGACAGTGGGCAGGTCACATTAATTTGTCGAAGTACCGACAACCGTTGGGGTATACGTGTTCTAGAGTGGAGACAGCGTCTAGGTAAATGTACTGGACTCCAGCTAGGTGGACTAACGATATTCGCAGTGTGACTGGCAGTGGTTGGGTGAGAAGAGCTGAACATTGAGCTCTGTGGCTTGTTCGGCCAATGTCCATCAGTGTTCAAAATCAGGCTGACGATGATGATGAAGAGTAGAATTTGTGCAGAAGATATCACGGGTGTGGCTACCAAAACAACGCCTGAATTTAAATGGATAGCAAACATGACTTCATGACCAATGAGTAATGACTTCATGACGTCATTACATGAGATGGATAAAATATTTCAACAACAACCCTTTGCATACCTATTTTAATTTTAAAAAACACAAGACAGAAAGATAAAACATAGTGAGAGACAAGACTATATTTTAGACATAAAGTGAACCAGCTTGAAAAGAGCAAAGTTTTACAACGTAGGTACTGAGAGCTAAGAAAGTATGCATTAATTAAATAAGGATTGTATTATTACGCTTAACACATTCAGTGCCCCCGACGCGTATGTGCGTTTCCTCGCACGCACATACGCGTCGGGGGCACTGAATGTGTTAAACTACCTGGAGATCGTTATCCGTATATACTACTTGTATATACGGATAATATTAAAGCTGAAGGTTTTGTTTGATAGCACTAATCTCAGAAACAACTGGTTCGAATTCAAAATTTTCGTGCTAGATAGTCAATTAACAAAGAAGGCTAACTTGCTAACTAAACCTTGTAAGTATTGATGGATGTTGGTTAGACTTTCACGTAAAACCAAGATAAAAGTGAGTGCATGCGGGCCCGAATAATGGTACAAAATATTGTTCAATCAAATATACGATAAGCGGCTCTTTCATGCTTATAATTGCATCTTAGTCGAAACAAAAAAGTTATATTTTAATATTTTTACATTTTCTAATCACTTATCGATTGGTCCCGTGTTAGTTTTAAACTATTTTTCGCCTTCACAACTAATGAAATTCTGAGAATATTTACTACCAATACCAAACAAAGTTCTTCAGGAATCTATCACAGGCTATCTATTCCCAGAATTGTCGTACCGTACCTTTGTCGAATTGTCGGCGCCCTATGTAATAATTTATTCATCTATTATACTTTTTATTTGTATAACATAGGTTGCATGCCTTTTAAAGGCATAACTCTATAATATTGCCTAAAACGAACAATACTCAATAAAAAAATAACAATAAATTCTATGACAACCTTGGAATACTATGCAAAATAGAACCTTAACGACATATAAATAAGTATCACTGCGTCATGACACGTTGTTCATTCTGTTAAACTCTTCAGTATCGTTGGGTACTTCCCAGCGTGGGTTCCAGTATCGGGGCGGGGTTTTCGGTCGGTCTGTGGGGTTGTTGGCCCCTCTATGGTGGGAACATTCGTTGATTTTCTTCGCCATCATTTCCGGATCATCTTTGTACAATTCGCCGAAAAACTGTAAAATTGGTCAGCTGTTAGTTTTGTCAATTGTACTTCTGAAAGAAGTACTAATTAAGAATAAAAAAGGATTAAGTTGTAAGTAATTGTAGGTTCCTATACTAATATTATAAAGAGGTATAATTTGTAAGTATGTATGTTGGGGTAACCTTTGGATTAGCTGGTCGATTTTCCAAAATTTTTTCACTGATAGATAGCAACAATGTTCCTGATTGCTATAAGGTATAAAACATCACACTACGATCAAATGAAGCCGAGCAGTGGGTGAAACCGCACGAGAATAGCTAGTTTCTCTATAAAATTGTTTGGTAAGTAAATAACACCTTATTCATTTTATGAATAAAGTATTAATTATGTTTCACCACTAACTACTAATAGTAACACTATCAGTTTCAAGCCACGCTAGGTACTTTTTATTTATTCATGAGCACGTGGCGAAGGTCAACAAGGGAGAGACAATTATCATTAGTAGTAAAAGTATGATTGCTTATTAGTTAAATCTATGATTAAAAGCCTAATACCATACAAATCCTAGGTACCTACACCACGACGGGTTATCATAAATTATTTTAAGTCCAAAATCATGGAAACTCTTTTTCGAAAAATATAATGTAATGCAGTTTTTAAATTGATATATCGCGTATAAATACAGTTTCATCAAAATCGGTTCAATAGTTGCCAAGATTTTGGGATTTGCAAGTTTTATATGAAAATCCATGCCCCATAGAAGCACTATATAAAACATAGAAAAATCTCCAAATGGGCATTCACACGTATATTTAGGTACAGTAAATTAAGGTTTTTATTACTTACGTCTTTACATTTTTCACAACTCCATCCAGGTAATAAACGTTTCTCGGACTTCTTCCGCACAGGTTCATGATCCATTTCAACCAATTCTGGGATTTTTCTAGAAAAAAAAAATAGAGTATAGGTACGTGTAACTACACATATTTTAGGTGTTTTTTTTTTGTGAGGGGAAAATCATCATATGACTTCTCCCGCCCAGGGCCGGGCGGGAGGGAGTGTCAGTCTCTTACTGACTAAAAACCCCCCTGTTCCTTCTCCTGCTCTGGGCCGAGGTCGCGGTGCCTCGTTGCGCTTACCCCGCAACCCCGGCTGAACATCAGCCCTATAGGGCCCCGTCTGTGGTGGTCTATTGGCTCCTTGAGGCGCGCACGGAACGCTACGCGCCGTACGCTCGGGCCTGGTTCCGGTCGGGCGGCGAGCTGCCCTTACTCGCCGACCGCAAGCCCGTGCTTACGGTGGCCGGAGATCGTCCCTTGATCCCCGACGCCCGTAGTGTGGCCTATTGTGGCGTGAGGAGGAGGATTGCTCCCTCACGCGGGCCGCCTCCCTAGTACATATTTTAGGTGTAAACTATGAATTGCACCTACTTTTATAGCATTATTCTACCGAATTCTCAATCCCTTGCCGTTCCCATACCCAATCCACTAGACCTAAACTAAAATCCTAACTACAAGAAGGCCAGCAACGCTTTTGTGACACCTCGATGTTGAGGGTCTCCATAAGCGGCCCTGTTTGCTTACCATCAGTCGATTCGTATGTTTATTTGCCGACCTATCCTATACCTGTAGAAGACAATGCAAGGCGTTATTTTGTTTAAAAAAAATTTGCTTTTCCAGAGATAACAGAAATTCATCGGCATCACCTTATTTTTTTTAAAACAATATGGATATGTAAAATTAATGTTTCGTGGGTTAACATTTTAAGCTTTCTAGCTGATCGTTGATGACATACAGCCTGGTGACAGACAGAAGGACAGCGGAGTCTTTGTAATAGGATTTCATCCAAACATTGTGAAACAGGCCCTAAGACTTAAATTATCTGTATTTATTTACATAAAAAGTAGCCTATGTCCTATTCCGGAGTGTATCCTATGCCTGTGCCAAATTCCATTCAGATTCGTACAGCCGTTTTGGCGTGACTGAGTAAGAAACATCCAAACATCGTAACTTTCGCGTTTATAATATTAAGTAAGATTGGACGAGGAATTTATTATGAATCTTTTAATTTAAAATATACATGAATAGTTGGAGTAATTAATTAATTATCAATATTCTACCTTTTAACATTTTCCACAGCATTTTTAGTAAACGGTTCCCTCTGTAACACTGACATGCTGGCTTGAAGTTCATCATCATCTTGTATGTTCGTTAAATTAATATTTTCTGCTAAAGGACTCTTGCTGGGGCTGAAATAAAATAATACATAGATTCAATATGGTGTGATAGTGGACTTTTTTTTTACATCTCTAAAGTATGAACTCATTGGGGCTACCATAATTCTACTCCCATGTAATTTTTACTTAATAACTATAGCTGCTAAAATCCGATAGTTTCCAACCAGTCAAATTCAATACTTTTATTGACATGTTATAAACGATAATTTTCTATGAAATTGCTACATAATATGACGTCATAAAATTTTCAAATATCATAGCTATTTGGGAAGAAATTACTAGAATGAATCGAAAATTAAAGCTTTAGTCAAATGTATGAATGAAATTATGATTATGTTTTAATAGTAAAAATAATTAATTTTTGATATAGGATCTATCAATTGGATGTCTATTGCCCATGCCGAATTGAGTGACTGGACATAAGCTAATGGCTAAGTTGGACTTGCGATCGTAGGCGAATCTTTTCTTTTTTTAAAAAAAACGTTGCCTTACATCAGGATTTTCTCCTGTGTCGTGGGTGCGGTTACAAACATACAATTTCACATACACATGACACCCAGACCCGGAACAACAATTTGTGGATCACACAAAGAGTTGTTCCGTGCGGGAATCGAACCCGCGACACGTTGCACGGCAGCCAGTTGCCCAGCCACCGCACCAACCGTGCAGTCGAATAAAATTCCTAATTAGAAATGGGACAACCATAGTACGAATCAACTAAAGAGATACTAAGAGTATGCTTAGCTTGAAATCTTAGAATCGGTGCATGTCTAAGGCAGATTAAAAAATAATAGCAATACCTAATAAAGTTTCATAATAATAAAATCTTACCTATTCCCCTTCCTTTTATGTATATTATCCAGTTTGTCAACATGTTGTAACAGTGAGACACTAGCTTGCGTGTCACAGTATGTCTCGTCATTATACTGTTCAGCCTTTACAGCTGCATGTTTTGCCAAATTCTTAGGCAGCCTGTAAAATATAAATAATATTTTTACAGACAAATGAATGGACAATCAAAGAAAATGTTGCATTTTATTCCCCAGAGTAAAATTAATGTTGATATAAGTTTAGTATGTCTTTAGATAGTAGGTAACTGTATATATTTTTTTTAAAACTATCTATATATAATAATTTATTTAATAAAATTAACTTTCTTAGTAGGGAAAAGCTCTACTAGTTTCAATTCACAGCGGAATTCTAAAGTATAAATGAATAGCGTGCGCGTCGCGAAATAGTCGTGCAGCCGTAAAGACGTAACTAGTAGGGCTTTTCATAGTTAATCGAGTCGTTATTTAGAATAAATAATTTTACTCTATCTGAGGAATGTTTTGAATAAATAAATAAAGATATTCTAAATAAAGGCTCTAAGTGAGACATTTTTGATCTCTGTATGAAGAGGACTTTAAAGCGTCTAAGATATTTCAATGTCAAAAATCATGGAAATTAGTGAACCAATTTTAATTAAACTCAGCACTCATATGCAATATGATTGTTGTGTCACGAGTTTTAGTGTGATTTAGCCAGGTTTGTGGATCAAGCGCAATGATGTGGTGACCATGAAGTGAACGGGGTATTTTTTTAGTCAGTAATAGTCTGACACGAAACTGGGTGGTATTTTAGTCATAAAGATTTAGACGACAAGCCATATTTGACGTCACTAAACAATAAAAAAACTGATGTGTTTTTCAAATCGTACGTTTGTAAACGTACCTACGACACACAGAAGAAAATCCTAGTGTAAGGCAATATAAAAAAAAACCATTATTATTTACTAGGGGTCAACCGCGGCTCCACCCGCCCTTTTTAACCACCCCTTTTTAATTTTATCTACGTTCAAACCTTCTCTGGACTTCCACGAGTAATTCAAGACCAAAATTAGCAAAATCGCTAAAGGTAATATTGAGTATAACATTACAACGAAAATTGACATTAATTTTAATTTAAAAAGATTCAATTTAAGTATGTAGGAATAATGTATGTACCTGTTCGGATGCAATAAATTAATAGAATCCTCTTGAGTGAAAGTTACACTATCGTTTACATTATTTCTCAATACATTTTCAGTATTTAGTTCTTGCTTTATTATTGAAGGTGAGACAGATTGGTCGAGTTTCTTAGGTGGCGTCGTTTTCTCAGTTTTGACTTTCAAACTAAGCGGTTTCTTGAATTTCATTGGACTTTCTTTAGATTTAAACCTGTAAAACATTAAAAGTAGTAAGTATTTCAAATGATTATTTTTGCTTGATATATTTGCTTATACGGTACTAGCGTTTACCTGCGGCTTCGCTGAGTGTTGGTTAAACAGTAGCCTATGTCTTAATCCAGGGTATCACCTACCCACATAATATATCTACCAAATTTCAACCATATCGATCCATCCGTTCTTGCGTGAAAGAGTAACAAACATACATACATACATACATACATGCTCACAAACTTTCTCATGTATAATATTAGTAGGATAGTAGGAAGTAGAATGGTACTGATGACTGATGATACTTATATGATATTTAATGGGAGCTTCGAAGAAACCCAGGACACAAGTGATTTTTGAGGTTGCAGTTTCGAATCTTCGAATCGCTTACGTTTATATTAAAAAAAAAGCTTTGCCCCACACTAGGATTTTCTCTTGTGTCGTGGGTGCGTTTACAAACATACAAATTCACATACACATCACACCCAGACCCGGAACAACAATTTGTGGATCAAACAAAGAGTTTGTCCGTGCGGGAATCGAACCCGCGACACGTTGCACGGCAGCCAGTTGCCCAGCCACCGCACCAACCGCGCAGTAAATTGTATTCGATGAAAAAAAACGAAATAATAATTCACCATTACTACGTGTTATACGAATAATTATTTTATTTTACTAATCGGCGTTAGAACTAATTATTGGAACAAAAAAAAAAACATTCCTTACAGTGTAAAATTATTTGGTCCACTTGTGGGCGATGGCAATATTGTATCTTCGTTCTCTATTGATTCCTTTTTGATAAGTAACTGTAATAAAATAATATTATTTAGTTAAACCCAGCCCAAGTAATTGTTTGACGTTGTACTTCGTCTAGTTTCAAGCCATACCGGGGCCCTTAATAGGCACCCAACAATCATGGCTAGCGAAAGCAAAAAGGTGCGATTTTCATAACATCCAAAATTTTTATCGTAAAATATAATAATTAGAGGATTTTTTTATGAATATTTCATGATACGACAACCATTCATGTAGTTAACAATTAAAATTAGGTATATGACATCAATCCTCACCGGTTTGTCCTTATCGCTATCATCTCTTCGTCCGCCACTGAATTCCGGAGAACATGTAATATCTATCACGGTCTGTTGTTCCACTTTTACTAAATTCAGTCGAGATTGCTTATATCTGCCTGTCTTTTTGCCACCTACTGGAGTCGAGCAGGATAGCTTGAAAGCTTTTTTCTCTGGTGTTGCCCTGTAAAGTTACAAAAATAAAAATGTACTGTATCTGTATAAATGAACTAGTCTCTCGTGCGCAGTTCCACCCGTTGAGTGGCTGCTTTTGGTAGTAGCGTGATATTTTATAGCTTATCTATAGCACTCAGGAACATCATCATCATCATTATCACCAGCCTGTTGTCGTCCACTGCTGGACATAGGCCTCCCCAATTGCACGCCACTGAGACACCCCGCAGGGTGTGTCGTCCACCTAGCTGTGCGCCCGCCCTACACTACGTTTGCCTAGACGTAGTCTCCACTCTAGAACACGTTTAACCCAGCGGTCATCGGTTCTTCGACAGATGTGACCTGCCCACTGCCAGGAACAATGTAGCTACATAATAGTGAAAAAAAAAATGGGAAATACGATCAGTGGTTCCAAAAATTACCCACTACAAATTTTACCTCTTTATTATATTAGTATACTTTATTATACATAATAAATGTGGGAGAGCCAAGCTTCGGCGCGACTGTTTTGTCTCGACCGGAGTAATACCACGGCCTCGCATAAAACCGGCGTGAAACAACCACAGCGTTTTGTTTCGCCATGTGAGTGAGGTTACCGGAGGCCCAATCCCTCCCCATCCCTTCCCAATCCTTATGTATCCCAAACCTTTATCCTTAAAAGTCCGGCAATGCACTCGAAAACAAATTCTTTTGATGTTGCGGGTGTCCATGGGCGGCGCTGATTGCTTACCATCAGGGAATCCGTCTGCTCGTTTGCCGACCTACGCCATAAAAAAAATATAATATAGATGTTATATAAGAGTACCTATACAAAAGACAAAAATGTGTCATTCTTTATTAATTAGGATTGGGACATAAAATATATAAAGTAAGCCAGGTTGCAGGTGCAAGCACAATAAGGTACTATAGCCCTGGCCCAGAAGGACAGGATGGTTTTTAGTAAAGTCCCCATCAATCTCCTTCTCTTTCTTTTTCTCAGTTCTCCTTCTTCCACTTTAAAGTCATTTGGTTGAAAAAACTCACTCACCAATTATCAGGACACTTCTTCTTATCCCGAAAATCTGACGATGTAGTCACTGCAGTAGTACCCTTAAGTTTCTTTATTGGTATAATTGGACTGATTCGTCCTGCTGTAGGTGTGCCTTCAATCTCAGACTCGGATTCCTCTCTAAATGACACATCTTCAAGAGAAGAATGCAATTCTTGCTTTAATTGTGACTTATTGACCTCTTTACTGTCCTGGTATGTTGGCACAGATGTGGGTGCTTCACCAAATAATATTCTGAAAGCTTCATCTAATATTTTCAGGTCTTTAGTCTCATTTAGCCTTGTTAATGTTGAAGCTGGAATTAATAAAACCTTCTCGTTATAAATATGTAAACTAAATATAAGAAAAAAGTTTCTTAGTCTAGTATTTGAACTTACTTACCAACTAACTGTATGATAGTGTCTTTTGACTCAATTATCCTTTTCAAAGCCTCAGCACTACTGCAGCTATTACTAAAAAATTTAATAAATATTTTAGACAGACTATTAAAAGTAATAAAAAAAATAATTAATTTTATTTTGCTATTATTATTGTCACTACAAATATCAAGTGTTTTTAGTTCTATGATTATCTTTCAAATTGCTAAAGAGTAACTAATCAACTATTTTAATAGTGGAAAAGGCTAGAGTGAATAGGCTCTTAATAAACTAGTGCGCCTTACCATCAAAGATTGCATCACTGCTTACCATCAGGTGGAATCGCAGTTAAGCACTAGTTTATGATTGTGATTTTGTGCTATTGCTATTGTGAGTGATTTTAGGCTACACAAAGTACAGGTTATATTAGAAGTGCAGAGATAATACTAAAGTAACAATTTATTGAATTTAAACCAACCTGCCACATTTTTCTTTTTGTTCAATAAATTGTGTTTTATAATTATTAGATTCAATCTGAAGCTGTTCAAAGTCTGACAGGAGATCTGAAATAAATAAAAAAATCTTATTGGTGCAGAGCCTAAGGAGGAGACTTAGCTAAATAAAATATCCTTATCCAAGAAACCATTAGTAAATTTAAATAATATGGCATTTTTCACCATTTAAAATTGTACAAAATTGTTTCTTTCATTGATAACCATAACATTAGTTTAAAATTCAAGATAATGCAAGAATGATTTTATTTATAATGAATTAAATAAAAAGGGTGTGTGATAAACAACACAAATAATATATGATAACTCCACAATATTGTAGATAGGAGGTGGGTGGATTAAAATAAAATATACAAATTTTATTATAAGGTAAAATATAAACAATTGGGATGAAAATACAAAACCAGTATGAGTGGCACTTTAGATTGTGAAACAAAAATATGCACATAGGTTCTTTATTTTGTTATTATATGAGCAAGGCAAGAGATTGTAGTACAAATAATTTTAAATCAAATAAATGTATCTAAAAATAATCATTGTTTTTTTTGTTTACCTTTAAAGTTGTCCAGTCCTTGTAACAGAGTTTTTTCCAATGTTAAAACTTTTATATTATTTGAGAGAAATGGAGGTAAAGAGTTGCTTATACTAATTAAACTCATTATCACAACACTAAGAGCATAAAATAAGGTAATTCTACTACATAAACATCAAATAAATTTTAGCGCCAATTAGACAAGTATTAGACAAGTTTTAATCGTGTTAAACAAATAAGCTACGACTTTCACGTTCAAGTTTAATATAACAGATTTTTAACCAAAATAATAATTATATTCTCGTCTTACATAAACAAAACTAACTTTAATTTCCACTGTTAAAAAATATACAAGTCTTTGCCTGTCTCCTTTTTAATTATTGTTTTTATGTCAAAGTCAAATTCAAATGACAAATGACAAATCAAAATCATACATTGCCACAACCAACGAAAGCAAGTTTGACACAAAAGAAGGCCTATATCGGTACAACAAAAACATTTTTGTAATTTATTGAACATTTTTGTAATGTAAATAAACGATGGCGTGTTGTTAGCAAAATCCGGTTGAATTTTTGCTGTTTATTTTTATCTTTTCCGATATTTGATTTTTTTTACTACATAATAAAAACTCAGATTAAAAATATTGTATTTTTAATCTGCGCCCAAAAGTCAGGCAAAGGAACAAACAAAGTTGGGTTTGGGTTACATTGTGTTATTTATTTCGATTTTTTACTATGTTTACTGTAGTATTTAGGTGAAAATATAAAATATATTGTTGCTTTACGGTAATTATTTGAATTCTATTATGTTTTAGCATAATATATAAGAACGCGATAGGTTTTACAATTTTGAACCTTTGCCTAAAAGAAAAAAAATTGATGGCGCTCTTTCGGGGTTGTCAAATTTATTTCAAATAATATTTTGTATTTTTTTTATTTATAATGACAAAAATGGCTTTTTCAGTAACGACGGCTACTTATTTTTAGGCATATGAAATTGGCTAACATACCATGGAGACGACTGAAGATGACATGATTGTGTTGGTGGTGGTCGACGATGATGAGAAAAGTAGGGGTTCAGAAAAAGAAGTAAAAGAACCTGATTCAGAGCCGGCCTCAGAATCCAATAACCAAGTGGATAACATACTTGAAATTGCACAGAAACATGGAGAGTATGTTTCAGTGAAGTTAGACTCAGAAGATGAATGTGACTATGAATATCTTGAAGATGAAACAGCCACAGAGGTAAGGGACGGCATTTTCGCGCCTAATTTTTATTTTTTCAACTAATTTAAACCATAGACTTTACTACAACTTTTATAATACAGGAATAGGATTATTATCAGCCATTAATCATTAATACATAGGTATATTGTATTAGTTTCTTGTAGTACTATCAGTACAATTTCTAACTGGTGCCTTCCCTACATCTTCTTTTACTTTTCATGTAGACACTTTTAACATTAAATTTACAACTACTATAGGAAATAATTTTAATTACAGACTGATATCAAAGAAGACACTACAGATGGCATGGAGTTATGTGAGGGTGATCCAGAATACATTCCTGAAGAGTCCCAACAACATGGCCGTCGAGACAAGCGTTTCACAATGTTAAAGCCTTGGCAGCAACGGTCATTTGTAGCAGAATTACGGGAGAACCATGAGGAACTAAGAGAAGATCCTGAGTTACTGATCAATACATTAGGTCAGATTATGTCGATGGCTAAGCCACCGCCACCACCACAAGATTTCTATGTCATGGAGGGTGTTATGTTTGCGTAAGTGTGAAAGTCTTATATGGGAAAATGAATTACTGTTTGTTAGTCCCAGTGTAACTCTGAAACTGCTGTACCAAATTAATTAATTTCAAGAAAGTTGAAGAAAGGGTAACCTTTCTAAATAATTAAATATTTAAATTAAAAAATATTTAAATATTGAGAAGAAAAATTTAATATTGTGTGTAAAACTAAATATGTCAATTTTCATTGCCATAAAAACTAGTGTCATTGCCATAGCTATAATAAGGTTTTAGCCATATCAATTTTTATAAGACACATTTAAGAATAAAATTATTATTAGAACTTGTGTAGTCATCCTATTCACACACATGTCTGTATGTGTTTTATTGATGTGTATTTTAGTTTTTACTTTTATTGATATTTACAGATGTATATACTGCGGACATGTGTCAGACACATTGCCTGCAGCTGGCCGACATTATCAGGAGAAGCATGGTGAAAGATATTTAGTTTGCTTCGCTTGCGGAGTCGATTTCAGAAGGTAAAAACATAATAATAACTTATTTGACTCATGTTTATTCTTTTTAAAAACATTGCCCTACTTATGTATTTTATCCAGTATCGTGAACACGCTGACAAAGATACAATTAGGTACACAACATTCACAAACACAGCAAACCTAGCTCTGGTGTGAGGGAGCTATCCTCCTAACGCTCCAGCCGCCACAGTAGGCGTCACTCCGGGCGGCTGGGATCAAGAGACGATCTCCGGCCACCGTGAGCGCGGGTCTGCGGACGGCTAGTAAGGGCAGCTCGCCGCCCGACCAGAACCAAACTCGAGCGTACCGCGCGTAGCGTTACGCGCGCCTCAAAGAGCCACTAGACCATCACAGACGGGGCCCTATAGAGCTGATGTTTAGCCAGGATTGTGGGTTAACGTGATATAAGGCACCGTGGCTCGGTCAAGTGTTCTAGACTTCTAGAGAAGGAACGGTGGATTTTAGTCAGTATGAGTCCGAGACTCCCTCTTGGCTCACCCTGGGCGTGAGAAGGAATTTTACCCTCACAAAAAAAAAAGACTTATCGTAATTTTGACTCAGTAAACAAAAACTGACGTTTCGAAAGTACCTATTTATGGCTTAGTTGGAATAAATGATTTTGACTTTGGAATACTTAGGTGTTATATTTGATTTCCAGTACAACAAACCTGTACAAACATGAGAAGCGCTGCATTGCTCCGGATGCTGAGATAGTGCTGAGGGCGCGCGCCGTTAGCCTGGGACGTAAGGGCCGCGGGCGACCCTTCCTCACCAACGACCCGTATATCAATAATAATGCTCAAAGGAATAAGTAAGTCCAAACTATAATAATGCGAAAGTAACTCTGTCTGTCTGTCTTTTCTTCACGCCTAAACTACTGAACCGATTTCTGTGAAATTTGGTAGAGATATAGTTTGGAACTCGAGAGAGCACATAAGATAGTTTTTATACCAAAAATCTGCAGGAAGTCACTATTCCACGCGAACGGAGTCGCGCGGGCAAAAGCTAGTACAGTACTTATAAGTTCTTTTTTTATTTTTCTTTTTAATAAAAAACGTTACCCCATATGGATTTTCTCATGTGTCGTGAGTGCGTTTACAAACATACAATTCCACACGCACATCACACTCAGACCCGGATCAACAATTTGTGGATCACACAAAGCGTTGTTCCGTGCGGTAATCGAACCCGACACGTTGCGCGACAGCAAGTTGCCCAACCACCGCGCCAGCCAGTGACATAAGTATGGCAAAAGAAAATATCGTGAGTTTTTTTATGTTGTACGTCGGCAAACGACCAAACGGATTATGGTTAGCATGGTTCCTGATGGTAAGCAATTAGCGCCGCCTATGGACACACGCAACAACGGAGGAGTAACCAGTGCTTTTCCAATTAGGGATTTGGAGATATTGGAATTGGACCTCCGGTAACCACACCCACATTCGTGCCGAGGCACGACTCTACCATGCCCACCTTTATTTTAAAAAATATCGAAAAAAAATGTTTTTGCTGGAGAAAACTACCCAATTTATACGTAGGTACCTAATATCCTGAAAATCCTAACAGTTTTCTACCATAACAAACAGTAATATAATCTCCTATCTTTTGCATCGTCAGGTTTCCATGCTCCCTGTGCTCAGCCGTGTTTATAACGAAGAGTAACCTGAAGTCTCACGAGAACTTGCACCGCGGCGAGCGCCCCTACCGCTGTCACGCCTGCCCGTGCGCCTACGCATCCAATTCCGCACTCTCGGTATGTATATTTTAAAAGTTATCTTTTATGTTAGTGTTAGGTATATTGTGCTAAATAATTTAAAAAAATATACGCTGAAAATTTTTGTCGTGTCTTGGAAGGCAATTTGCAATTTCATCAATTATCAAAGTATCAAATATATTTGCTGATATAATAATAGTAGTAGTATTCAATTAGATCATTTACAAATAAACGATTCAGATAGTTCCAAGTTCAGTTCTAATTCAAATTCAAATCTTTATTTGCATGTTAAGGTGGGTACAAGGATCTTAAGTTAAAATAACAGGCACAGCTTAACGGCCTTTTTCAGGCGTTGCAAAGAGGGCTATTACTAATTTCAATTAATAAACTTAAAAACGGACACTCCCTTACGTTGTCTAAGAAATAGCGCCTAGTGCGTGTTTGCTTTACTTTAAGGCGATCGACATCTTAATGACGTTCGACACTCTGATTGGCCTGTTCTATGTTAAACAACCAATCAGGGGGCTAAACGCGGTTATATACCGAATAAAATGCCATATTAAATGGAAGCATTTCAAATAGTAATTCTCATGTGAAGATCACATAGTTTTTTTTTGTGAAAGTACTCCCAACATGTTACATTAAGCAGTATCACGCTGCGCAAACTCTTTGAAAGCTCTATTCGAAAAATAACTGTATATTGCACACGATAAGGTTTAGAATTGATGCGGTGTGTCTCGAATTGACCCTTGTGTGTGAATTGACCCTAACTGTTTTGTCTTCATTCAAATATTTCCATTTATTTACAGCGACACACGAAAATGCACACGGATATTCAGTATATTTGTGATCACTGCGGTCGCGCGTTCAAGATCAAAGCCGCTTTAGTCGCTCATATGGACACGCATAACCGTAAGTACATGTTTATTATAGTTAATAATTATCTATACTAATATTATAAAGAGGTAAAATTTGTATGTTTGTAAGTTTGTATGTAGGGGGTAATCTTTGGAACCGCTGGTCGGATTGCCAAAATTCTTTCACTGATAGATAGGTAAATGTTCCTAAAGGCCATAAAACATCACGCTACGATCAAATGGAGCCGAGCAGCGGGTGAAACTGCGTCAGAGTAGCTAGAAGTAAATAATTTATCATACCTATCGGTGAAACCCTTTAAAAATCTGTCCGTTTTTTCATAAAAGAGACGGACGAAAGGCGACTTGTTAATAAGTAACTAAGGATGTGTTAAATTAATTTTCTTTTTGTCATATTCCCAGTTGTTCGTAAATACGGTTGCGATGAGTGCGACCGTCGTTTCGCCCAGAAATGTGCACTGAATCTGCACGTGTACCGAGTGCACAGGAACTTGCCGCCGCCCTGCCCCTGTCAGATCTGTCCTAAAAGGTATGTGTTCTGTTAAAAAATATTTATCTCCGCGCCAAACAGGTATAAATTAAGAAAACAAGCTATTTTCTCTTCAAATTGGATAGTATCCTCAGTCAAATATTAATTATTACAGCTTTAAAAAACCATTAAAATAATTACTACTCATTCATTAATTTATAAAATACGTAATATATGTATTTTTTTTTAGATAATCCAAAAAATAAGTAAGTATTCTGTTTGACGTAAAAAAATATTTTGTTTGATCATATTACACATATATCTATCTATACAAAAATGTAGTTTTTGAAAAATTATTGAATCTGACTCAAGGACACTGCGCTGTTTAATATTTTTTTGAAATCACTTATAATCGGCCGATTTCAGACGACGGACTTAGAGAAAACCGGTGTGAAACAAATCTTTGCTGTTTGACCAGAATCGCAATCAAGAACAATCCACCCTTCAGCCATTCCCATCGCCAAATTCCCTAATTCTCTCATTCCGAATTCTTAAAATGTCGGCAACAGTCCTTTACATTCCCATCGCCAAACTCCCTAATTCTCTCATTCCGAATTCCGAAAATGTCGGCAACACTCCTCCTTCCTCCATGTTTCGGGTTTCTGGTAATACCTACTTACCTATGTAATGTTGTGGTTTAAAGATATTTTTATTGTTTTCAGATTCCAACGAATGTCGTTACTCAAAGAACACATGAAGAGGCAACATGGAATGTCTATAATAACTAGGAAGGTGAATATCTTTTTATTTGTTCATGATATAAACTCAAAAACTAATAAACAAATGGTTATGCTACTCTTCCCTTCTTATTATAAGATGGAAAGGTTTGTCTATTTAGATTGAATAAGCTCTGAAACTTCATGACCGATTTGACAAAATCTTTCATGCTTGCTGGGAAGCTACCATACTATCCCCGATGAACATAGGCTATATAAACTACGCGAGTGGCATAGCATAGCATTTTTATTCAAAAACAAGAACGGTCGACCGCGGCTCCGCCCCCGTCGATGCCGATTTTACTCTTTTTCGAGTTTTTTTTTTATTTTCTTTACATACAAATCCTTTTCTGGAGTTCCACGAATTATTCAAGGTCAACATTAGCTAAATCGGTACAGGCATTGTGGAGTTATAACATTACGACGAAAAGTGGCATTGATTTTATATATTTATATAGATTAAATCTCTATTTCAGATGTTCTTCAAAGCGTTGCCGACCATGACAGAGTTAGAAGTAAGAGAGTCCAAAGTTATTCGTAAAGATGAAGAAGATATGCTGAGTTTCTTACCACCGCCAGTTAAAGTAAAGACTGAACCAGACATTGAAGGGAAAGAGAACAACGGAAGTGTATACACAACAACAAAAAATGAAAATGAAACCAATGTTATTTATATACAAAATGGTGAAGTGTTAAAAATGGAGAGAGGTGGCACTGAAGTTCTATTTGAAATTGAAAGTGCTGTTGATGGACAGATCTTTATAAAAACTCTAAATGATAATGATAGTTCGTTCGAAGGGGACTGCAGTGACCTGAGCACTTTGGTAAGTACTTGATAGTTTGTGCCAAAAGGATTTGTTCCTATTATAATCTCTTTAGTTTTAGTGATAAGCTTTAAAATATGGTGGCAAATGTTAACAGAGTTGGTTGAAAGTAATTTACTGTTTTACTTCAGTTTAAGTCCTAGAGGATGACTTTAATAAAGTATGACTGCCGCATTCGTGTCACTGGTAGGGCAGAGTACTGCTAAAAACTCTAAAATGCTTATGAAGTTCTCAATAAGACACAATTTCCAAGAAGTTTGCAATAGAATTGTCTTTGATACCCATGTGGCAGGCTCGCGTGCAATAGGGACCTGTTAAAAGGTTCTCTTTTGATCTTATTTTATGTTTTGTCTATATTATAAAGACAAAGAGTATGAATTAAATTTAAAACACAAACCTCTTTACTTTTATACTTCTTAACAGTTACACGGTAAAACTAGATTTTTAGAAAAAAGTTTAACGTTCGCGCTAGATAAACTTATGCGCCACATAATTCAAAATTACGTTCTAAATTCAAATGTGAGTCGGATTCTATCGTGAGTCGGATTCGCGCGACGCCCACGCTGCTCATGAAGTCACTAAGAAAAAATCAAACAGCCTTATTACAAAACAAAATATATCTTTACTCTTGGTCCAAACCATTGAGCCAGTTTTTGTATTTTAAATTCAAGGTAGGTGAGTATAAGATTGAAAATACAATGGTTGAAACCTAAAGATAAATGATTTTTGTAGTACGAGATAAAGTACTACTTGAAGACCTATTGTGACTTGACACTTGGTTGTTGATAATACAGTCAACCAATCAGATGACTTGACAAGAGATTAAATTGATTTTAACATTGAACGGCCTTTCGGAAACCGGATGCTTACATCCGGTTTCTCATTGCTTCTCTGTTAATTTACAGGAGTCATATGTTATTCTTAATTAACATTCAGATTGTAAAACAGGCTCTTAATAAAATAAAAATAAAAACGAAAAATTGTAGAACTGTATTCCCCCTACAGTCTAATCGTAGCTAGTTTTACATAGATCTACCAGGAACAAACAGCAAATTTATAGTTTATGCTTGAAATTGATATGCAATAAAATATCTTATAATGAAAATAATAAGACTGAATATTATTATTCTGTAATATTAATGTTTATATTAAACTTCATTTTATAAATGTCGTGCTACTTTAAACAGATATAAAATTAACTATAAAGTGATAGAAGAAAATATGATTTTGTATAAAAGTTAAATTGATTCTAAAATGAATATTAGAGTATATGAAGTTTCACAATTCTTTCGTTGATTTTCTAAATGATTTGTTTTTGAGAATTTATTATTGATTGTGTAAAATATTGTGATAAGTGAGTTGGTAGGAAGTATTGGGAAAGAAGAGATAATGAATTTTAATTGCTGTTGTTTGTACTTCATTTATTTTTAGCACAAATAGGTCGTATTGTTGTAAGTATATATAATCTGTCAGAGGCATTCTCTATTGAGTATGTAAACCTCAACCAATGAAAAATTTTAATAGATACTAAATTGAAACAATATTTGGACATATTTATAGATGTTCTAGGAAACAGGAAATGAATTTGAAAAAAAAAATGTCAGGAGAAAATAAAACTGAATTGCTGCTGGATCTGTTCCTAACAAGCATAATTAAACTATAAAAAATATTTCAGTCTTATATTCGCTATTTTTATTCAGTCTAGCTTCATAATTTAGTAAGAGGTAGGAAAGATTATTGAATAACATTAGTGTTTCTATGAAAATGTTTAAGTGTTGCCAAAGTAAAAAAGGTAGTAGCATATTCAAAATATTAATATACCATTCAATAATATTTCCTACCCACTTTTTATATGCTTTGTATTATTCTATGAAGTTTTTCAGAATAAATATAATGTAATTTCTGTTAACACTGGTAGTGTACTTATTGAAAAACTAAATTATGTGTGCGAAATATCGTTTACATTATCATAATTTTTTAATTTCCTCGATAACTTCTGATCACACCTATTAACAAAGTGTAGTGGGATAATACTGTAGGAGTAGGGGGAGGGAAATAAGGGTTTGGCCACATTAATGCTTTAAATAAATGAAGTATAATTCAAAGGTATGTTGATCATTACTATTTTTTAATAGATTTTGTTATTATAAGTAGGAGTGATTAATTTAATACTTATATTGTTAATTAAATACAGAAATAAAAATGCCAAAGTATTTTTAATACGAAAATGTGTTTTATTACGCACTTATTATTTCAACCAAATATGTTTACTCATCTATAGCATAATGCGTACACAATCGTAAGAAGACACCACGAATTTTTTTTTTATAATGCATCATTACATACTAGGAAAATACAAAAATATTAAGCGGTTTCTTGGTAAACAACTACTCGGGATACCTTAAAAATATGCGAAATGTACATATACTTAATGAAATGCACCATTTTATAATACGCTGTTCATTCATCTTGGTCATCAGTTAACACTCCAAGACCTTCGTTTTTGAGCTTCTAAAATACGTAAAGTAAAAATTAAAAATAAATCCTTCATAAGCTAAATGCCTTGCAATCATGCGTCGTTCACGATGCCAACAAAACGACAGACGAAGGCAATACTCGATAGTAGTCGTGATAAATATCGATTAATAATCGATTCCATGATAATATCGATTATGCAATCGATGTTAACTAGTGATGTAAATAACCGTACGCTCGATATGTGACATATGTTAGAAGCCCTAAAACTATACGGTATAGTGTATGGGTGCATTGTTTAGAACTAGAAAGCGCTTTTCTCTATTCTCGACAACAACAATCTCGACCAACAACCACAAAAACTAACATCAACTCTTTATCCTCACTCCACGAATACTGATCATAGTTTTATCTTAACAATGGTCCAAAAATATCTAATAGCATTCCTAAACGATCAAGTAGAAAAATACTTTTAATTATGCCTCACAGATATCTAGCTTCATTTGTTAATTTTCCCTCACTATCATCAAGATATATATATTTATAATATTTATTCTCATCTCTGTCATGTCGAATTGCGTCAAAGAATACATTGTGGGTCTAAGAGTGTTAATCTATACTACTGTGACAATCTCGATAAGTTTCGATTATCGTGTTGCATAATGTTCACGATGAAAATATTAGATACATCACTCTGTATAAAACTAAACTTTTATCGACATCGATATATAGTGCGGGGATTTAAAGCCTTTTTGTTGTAGTGCGCGCTATTTATCGATGTACGATTGAAATCCACGGCATCGATACATCTAGATCTGTTATTCTAGAGCGTTCTCTAGAATATTGCTCCCAATCTTTCAATTTTCACAAAATGGCCTTGTTTGTGTATATGCGTGATAGTCGAAACATTACGTCCAGTATAGTAGTAATCTCTATAGCTCTCCACAAATCACTATACATATATATAATTATACAATAATATGTCGACGGTGACTTAACGTTGATACGTTGATATATCATTAATTTAATACCAATGTGCCCATGTTAGTAAGAGCTAAACGAAGAAATTTAAAAATATAAAGAACAATTCTAACACTGACAGATAAATTCGTATACTCATGAAATGAACTGGAGAACCCAAAAAACGGTGCATTCAACAGATGAAAAATATGAAAATGTCACAGATTATATAAATCAATATTCTTTCACTTTCAGACCATACTGTCAAACGTGTCTTTATACAAATGGGGTTTTTTATCTATCCTCTAGCACTCAGCCTCTTAAACATTTTCATTGAACATTGTGCATCAAATCTTAATATTAACCCTATGATAACAGTTAACACGATAACATTAAACAGACATTATTGTGAACTTGTAATGCATTATCGTTTGATCTTAATTTTTACGTGTGGTTAGGTCAATTCCAAGGCGTGTCTGTTGATTGGAGAAGTTTAGAAAAAGAGGGCAATACCTTTTTACTTGGGCAAAAATCATAGGTGTGATAGAGAAAGTATCATGAGATTATTAGATATTCTAAACGTTGAAATTAATTTTTCATTCCATATTTTTTAGTGTTATTTTTGTATGTAGCAACTTTTTATCCCCAATCAATAGACACGTCTGATTGCACTAAAAAAAAACTAAATGATATTTGAATGTTTCATATTCGGTTATTTGAAAATCTAATGTTGCCAACTATTTATTTTTATTTGAAAAGAAAAAGTAAGTATTATATCTATGAAATATCTGTCTGACACACATAAGTATTTAATAATGTATTTAATAATACGAATATTGCAATTTAATAGTACAAGTTTGACAAAATATAATTGCGAATAAATCGACAGTTAAGTTAGGTTTATTGGAATACTGTGTCAGACAGAATTTTTAAGGATAGAGTCCACTATTGCAGCGTATCATTGACATTCACAATGGACTCTAAACGCTAAGACAGTTCTGGACAAATTTATTGAAAATAAAGCCTTTTTCTAAAGTCCAGTGATAATTTGTACACAATACATAATAAGTCGTAATCGTTTGTTGAGTATATTGTAAATATATTTAGTATAATTATATGTTAAATAACCCGCTGTTTCACTATAAATGTGTCCAGAAACAACACGTGATCAGACGAGCGTTCACTTAGCTTGTTATTATATTTATGTATATTACATTGTATATACTAGTGGCAGTTATCAACGCTCTTGATATATTCAACGGTTAGGTTAAAAGCTCACTAAGTTCATTCACAAAAATACGTTTCATTTAACACACATTTTCACTATATTTATTGATAATTTAAGGCCTTAATATTGGTGAAATAGATACCTAACGGAAGATAGTATAGACTTGAGCTGTCATATTTAGGCGGTACCTACCAAAGAAATTTGAGAGTTTTTTTTTAAACAGAAGTGTAAGGCAAATCGCCTAGTGAGCTTTCACACTCATGCGACGGCAAAGTCATACAATTCAAATACAAAAAACATTCTCCAATTACATAACTATTGAAGTCGGACGTCAAGTTAGTCGATAATAATTATTAAGATATCGATTTCGGGAAATTAATCAGTGCGTACAAGTTAAACGATCGATTGACATAGACATAACCATAGATAATCGAAGCTCATGCAATTTCTTACAATGATAAGTTTATACAATTATAAATGAAGTACCAAGTGATTAAGATAAAATATAGGGGATATATGTATGGGTATCTAATTGATAATAAGTATTACACAGAAACAATAAATGAATAATAAAACCGTCCGATGGCCAACTAACCACATTCGTTCATATAAAAAATGAGCTCAGATTGCGTTTCCAACAACCAAA